AATTGAGAACAAAAAAAAGGGGACATTTTTACATAGCTAGCATAAAAATCATAAATTTATGCATTTAAAACTTGAAATTCACTTTTTACATTTATAATTCCTAATAATATCTTATCAAATTAAAAAAAATATCATTAATTTAATTTTAAAAATGTTAATACGCATTTTCGAGCATTTGTGTTATAAATATAAAAAATAAAATTTAAGATTTATTGGTATAAATGTTCAAAGCAAGCTTTATGTCGTAGATTTGTAAATATATAACAATTAGGTGGTATGTATGCAAATAACATAAACCAAACGGCACTTTCTAGAACTCACATCCTTTACTCGTTATGCACCCAAAAAAGACCATCTGCCACGTGGAAATAAATGCGACATAGCGCTTTCGTAGTCTGGCCGACACGTGGGTTTGCGTGGGGGAGATTCTGGTTGACGGTGACCGTTGGCGTTGAAGATGGCAAGACCAGATCTAGTCAGAGATCAGGTGTTTCAGCTCCAACACCCAAAGCACCGTTGAACGATTGGATGGACTTTTTATTACAGATGGCATGCATGTATTTGTTGAGAAGATGGCTCCGTGTAGTAATTTAACAGCGAGTATTAAATAATTTTGTTTAATTATTTAATAATTAGATATCAAAAGCAAAATCGTACAGTAGAAAGCTGCGGCAAGTGGGCGACGACGGAATAAACCTCTTGAGAAAATTAAGGAATTTTACTAATGTTGATGTGATGTGACTTAAGGATGAAGCTTTAATACATCTTCTTCGGGGTTAGACACAATGTTTTCAATGATGCATTGGCTGGTAGGTTGATAAGTGCTTTCATGGAGTTGGTGGTGGTTGATATAGCACGGTGCCTCGTCATAAGGAGAGTGGAACAGTCGGTGGTGGTCGGCAGCGGCCAACGAGTGATGGTCGGCGGCTGTAGAAGTTAGAAGTGTTCATCTGATCTTCAGTGCATAATACCATACTTTAGCTTGTTTTTCTCCAAGTTCTAGTGTTTCTTTGGCTCAGAGGTTCAATCCTCTTTTCAAGAGGGAGTAGAGCTGTATTTATAGAGTCTATATTGCAGATTATGAAGGAATTCAGTTCACTATGATCGGACGCCCTGGAAGATTTCATAGATGGAACGGTGTTCTGCAGACGTTTAACTGTCTTATTGATGTCATAACTGAGTGATATTGGGTTCGTTGCGTCTTGTCGAGGCACTCAATTTGACAATAAACTTGTCAAATTTGAAATTCATTTGATCTTCCAATTCATTTGCACTGAAAGCTTCTAAAAATGGTTTAATCACATGAGTTGAATCAGATTGTGTCAATTTTTATTATTAGGTCTCTATCATTGTGCCGATTAGCTTTACTATGAGTTTGTTCACATTGAAGTTCTCAATGACTTTTAATCGAAGTTTGAATGTTTCTTGCACAAAATTTTCTCGATATTCATGTCAGTCATCGATATTAATGTCATATGATGGGAAATTTATTGATAGCGTACTATTTATCATCTTAGATTTTTTCTTACAAATCCTAAAAGTCGAAGCATTAGAAATGCTATTTTGTAATTAGAAGTAGTAGCATTTTGAAAAAGGAATTTCACATCATCCTCATCTTTAGATAACCAATCACATTTAGCTCTTTGCTTAGTCTATTTGTAATTACACGTAGTAGCATTATAAATATTATTTTGTATATCAGAAGATTGAGTAAGCAAATCTTTAGAAATAGGAGACCATTCAAGTTGAGCAAGAACTGTAATTAGTTTATCTTTAGGTCAACAATATGATTAGCTATAGCATTAAGGAATTTCCAATTGACACCTTTAAGAGGTTTTTTAACATTTTGGAGCTTATTAAAAAGAGAAAAAATAGGAACACCTTTAATAGGTACATACCAAGCATAATAAATAAGCTGAATAAATTCGAACAAAGAGTCCAATAATTCTTAAAAATGAATCTACAACGTAAAGAAGAAGCCTTACCCATCAAATTTAGGCTCTGTTTGGCGCGACTTTCCCTTCGCGGTGCTGCAGAAGGCCGCATAAAAGCTTCGTTTGACAAGACGTTTCAGTTGCGTCGGCCGCGAATCTAAGGGAAAAGCGGGCTGCGGGATCGACCCCACGGCCCCGCTTCGCTCCCACGTCCCCCCTTTGCTCCATCAACATTTTACGCTGGTGCCCTCCTATTTCTCCTATTCGTGATTCCACCTTTTGTTCACCGTCGGTGGAAATCCTCTCTACTGACACGTCCTGCAACGCTCGAACCCTTTTAAACAGCCTTCGCTGGCCCGCAGAGCTCTTTCGTGTCCCAACCTCTTCAGTCTACCTCTTCCACCTGTACTTCTCCATCGCTCTCGAGTGCACATCTAAGTGTCTGCCCTCGTCGTGTGGTTACTCCTTCTCGCCATGGCCTCGAGAAGACAGACCTTGATCAAGGTCATTGTTCTCGGGGACAGCTGGTAAGAGTCTTGCTGCAATGTCTCATTCTCTTCCTTGATCCCGAATTTTTCTTGCAACATTACCTCCGATTTCAATCTTTTTTACTTTTTAAGCATTTCCTTCACCTTTTGAATGCATAATTTTGGTGTCTAATTTCAATCTACAAGGTAGCTGAATGCCGTTGCATTCTACAGGGAAGCTGGTTGTTGAATCTTGGTTTATGATATTAATGTTTTAAGGTCATTTGACAATCTTCAAAAGAATGCCACAATATGCTTATGTATTTACATATCTAACATCTAAACTGTTCAGAGCGAGGCAATAGTTGAAATATGTACTTATGTTTTTTTCTCTTAGATTCTTAAGTGTAATCTTAAGAACATGTAATGTCATACCTGTTTGGTTATATTTCTTTTCAGCTACAAGGGATGATCCTTTGTTGTTTTGCCTTATTTTAAGTTGGTTGTACAGTTTATGATTTTTCTCATTGAAGTGTGCTAATAGAAATTTTAACCTTCATTTTTTCTTTTATTATTCTCTGTTTTTACGTTTTAACTGGAGAATAGAGCTCGCATTGTTACTGTTATATGCTTTTTAATTGAAGAATATAGCTGAGCTACCGCTCACTATGAACCAGCACTTGATCAGCAGGCTTGATAAACTGATCATTAAATCTTCTCATCTCTATTAGGCCGTCATGGAAGTTTTTGTAAGATTATTGCCAAGTAGTTGGGAATGAGGTAATGGCAATGATGATCTCACTTTCGGGTCTCACTATTAGGTCATTGGTGTATCTGAACTTTCTGCTATCTGAACTTTCGTTTAGAAATGAATTTCTGCTTCTGAAGTTTCAAAAATGTGGTTGTTATAGTCTTCTTTTCAACAGTTTTAGCAAACAGGGGCAACATGATCATTTTTTCAGAAACAGCTGACCCACTGCTGTTTTCACACAGCTGCACCAAACAGACAGTCAACTTCCCCACAACAACTTTCTGGGGCAGCGCAGCTGCAACTGAAAATCTGATAAGCTGCAGCTGTGCCAACAGAGCCTTAAAATAGGGTGATGATTAGAAGAGTAACAAGTTAAAACTTTAAGAAAAAAAATATGGGTAAAAATTAATCCAATAAGAATTCACAAAAGCTCTGTCTAATAAGCATCTTATTGGATCATTTATTAAGAAAATTAATAAACTAAACTTGAAATGCTCTATATGATCAAGTTAGCGCTGGCTAAAATTTTCAATACGAGAAAGCGACATAATGGATATTGAAAAACATAGAAACAAATGATTGTTATTATTAGGAAACTTAATAAACTAAAAGTTTCAATATGAGAAGTTGATATAATGGATATAAAAAAATAAGCAAGACCTTGTATTTTCAATTTTTGGTACAATAAAAACAAGCTTTAAATGGCAAACAAACAATTTTATATTACCCCCAAATAATTTTACAAGTCGGTTGTCTTAAGTTGTTATAGAGAATAGTTAAGTAAAAGAGTTACAATTATGTATGGATTAATATAAATAATTTTAATTTATGACTCAAGGATTATGTTACCGGAGAAATGATACTCAGTCTCCCTCCATTAGCGAAACAACCTAATGGTGCATTTGGGGTGGCTGTGCGATGCCACATCACAATTTTTTTTGTTTGACGATTATGATTTACCTGTTTATTTTAAGAAATACAATTGAAAGCTGTGTTTTGCCATCATATGTTGTGGTTGCTAGAAAACTGCAATATGCCTTTTTTTTAAAAAAAAAAAAATTAATGGCTACTGTTGCATTTTTAATAACAATTTCACAACTTCATATTCAAAAATATATAAACTGCCCCAAACATACTCTTAACATAATTTGATGTGAGGGATGAATTTTAATTGAATGGGCTCACATGAACCCACTTGCCCATCAAATAAATTGGGCCTTCCATGCATTCAAACCTTCTCCAATAATTGAAATTTTTAATTTCAAATGCATGCTAATAAGAAACTGTTTTTTTCATGCAAGTCCATGAACAAAACTATTTTTGCAGTAACCGACAAATAACTCCCATCCCGCAAATTAGTGAAGCAAAAATAAACCCAAATAACTTAATCAATTAAAAAATTTATTACATTCATCTTATATTTCGACACCTCCATCAAAAAACAATATTATTAATTAAAAAGAAAAATGAAAACAAGGGGCATTTGCATAAATACCTCCCAGTTTCTTTGAATTTACATATCACACTCCTAAATGGAAAAATATTACATCAAGAGTTCTAACCTGGAACTACGTTAGGAGTCCACTGATACACGTACACGTGGAGTTTACAGAAATTTTTTTTTAAAAAATAGTTTTAGCATAGAAGAATATTTCTCCCATGTTATTCAAAATTATTTAGGTGTTGTTGTGGTGACATTCATGTGTTATTTGAATTCTGAGAATATTTCTGGTACTATAATAACACAACAACACATCAATATCACCACAACAATACCTGAATAACGCTGAATAACAAGAAAGAATATTTTATATTAACGGACCAAATCACAAGAAAACGTGCGCATTTTCTTGAAGTCACATATTAACATATCAGTGAACTTCGAATGTAACTCTATGTCAGGAGTCCTGATTTAATATTTTTTTACTCTAAATATTACTTGTATGCAGAAATTAACAGATTAAAAACATGAAGCCGTTGCTACAGGTGCTGCCACACAACCATACGACGCAGTACTGCGATGGCAGTTTTTGCAGGCTTCAAATTTGTTAAACCCCGCCATGGGGAACAGAATTCCCATCGCCATCAAAAGGGTTTAGGGCAGAGCTCTTCTCCTCCGGTCTCAGACGTTGAAGACGAACATTATCGCCGATAATGTCACAGAATGAGTCGACGGCCACCGGCGCCACCAATTCCGAGGCCTGGAACATAGCCAGAACCCGTTGCAGACTTTCGAGCTCCTCCATTTCAGCCTCCTTCTCCGTGTTCATCTTCAACATCATCATGATCCTGATCAGCAGTAAGATCGTTCCCTCTTTCCTCCGCCTCCTCGGCCAGCACCGCATGATCTCTGATTTCATAGTAATTACTGCAACAAGTTATCACTTCTTGTTTCATCGATTCTTCCCCGGCATCAATTCTAATCGAATTCTTTTTCGCAGATTGGGGTTCTGTTGGGCAATGTAAGATTATTGCGGGTAACCGTCGAGGATCATGTGATCATCGCCATAGTCCGCATGGGTTCCTTCGCCTTCTGCTTCTACCTCTTAGCCCTCGGGCTCGAGATGGAGCCTAAAAAACTTCTCAATTGGTCCAACCCTGCAACGAAGCTTGCGTGCTCCGGTATCGTCTCCACTATCGGAATAACCCTTTTCTGCTACACAATCATGAACTTGAGCGGCCTTCAAGTCGCTAGAATCAAATCGTACCAAACGGTCTGCGCACTGGCCATCGCCCTAGCTGCGACCTCTTCCCCCATCCTCACCCGCCTCATCACCGAGCTCAAGATCGGAAAATCGGAGATCGGCCGCCTCGCCGTTCGTACCGGTCTCGCTAACGACATGATCTGCACATTCTTCATGTGTATCGGCGTTCTTCTCTACGGATACCAGTTACGGAATCCCAACGCACCTCTTTCGGCCCATTTCACCAACGCTATTCTCAAGCTTCTGTTTGTTACCATCGAGATTTGCTTCATCTTCAAAATCATCAACCCCTTTATCGGCTTCTTAAACGATCGCAACCCTGAAGGAAAACCCATCCGTGGCATCGACATGCTGCTCGTCAGTCTCGTATCCATTATGCTCTGCTTCAGCTCCGTTCTCTACGGCTACGACCCTAATTTCAACGCCTTCATCGTTGGCCTCTGCCTGCCTCGCCATGGCCGAATGTCAAATTTTCTAATCAGCCGAATCAATTTCGCCCTCACCACTCTCATCCTACCGCTCTACGTCGTCCTCGTCGGCTTTTCCACCGATTACAGAACATGGGTTACACAAGAGAGCCGCACCGCCTACAGACTCCTGATCATCGGATCCATCGGAGTGGTCGGAAAGCTGACGGGGACTGTAGCTTGCAGCATGCGTTACGGCCTTCTATGGCCGGAGGCCATCGCTCTCGGTCTTCTTCTAAACGTAAAGGGTTACTTCCACATCTTCTGCGCATACACCGCCTCGACAATAAACATGATCGAACCAGAGATGATGATGGTGATGTTGCTGGTGACGATCGGGACGATCATTCCGACGCCGTTGGTGGTGGCGTTTATTGTGCGGCGTGCGAGAGCGAGGGCGAGGGAGCTGGGGGTTAGGCCGCTGGGGTTGCAATGGTGTAATGCGGGGAGTGAGGTGAGGATTTTGATCGGATTGCATGGGCTTCAAGATGTTGGGATGGCGGTGAATGTGATGGAGGCGATGAGGGGGAAAGGGAAGGAGGAAGAGGAGGAGGAGGGTAGGTTGATGGTGTATGTGATGGATATGGTGGAGATGACTGATAAAGCTGCGGCGTCGCTGGTGCATGGGGAGGGGATGGAGGCGGTGACGGTGAGGGATGAGGAGATTGTGGAGATGAGGGAGCAGATTGGGTCTGCATTGGATGCTTACAAGGAGCAGAGTGGTGAAGGCGTGAGGGTGCGGAGGATGCTTGCCGTCTCCTCCTACGACTTTATGCATCAGGACATCTGCAGCGCCGCCCAGGTAACTTTTTAAAAGCACGAATTTTTCTATCCCTATAATGTTACCGGCTGTTAAAATTTGAACCGCAATCAACACTCAGGACTGCATGGCGGCAATGGTGGTGCTCCCCTTCCACCGCCGGCAGAGAATCGACGGCTCAATGGACGCCGGCCACCTAGGACACAGGCTCATGAACCAAAAGGTCCTGCAACACTCCCCCTGCTCAGTCGCCATCCTCATCAACCGCGGGCTCGGCCGCTCCTCCACCCAACGGTCCTCCTCCTTCGCATGTCAAAACGTCTGCGTCGTCTTCATCGGCGGAGGAGACGACCGCGAGGCCCTCGCTTACGCCGGGAGAGTCGCCCGGCACCCAGGCGTCAGACTCACCGTCCTCAGATTCCTCCCCGACGGCAAAGTAACCGGGCCGGGGAGGCGGATTCTGACGGCGGCGGAGAAACATGAGATGGAGAGGAAGGCGGATGAGGAGTACTTGGCCGGATTTTATGAGAGGTATGTGGAGGGGGGGAGGGGAGTGAGGTATGTTGAGAAGCGCGTGGGTAGCGGGGTGGAGACGGTGGCCACTTTGAGGGGACTGGAGGGGGAGCACGAGCTCTTTGTTGTGGGGAGAGGGAAGGAGATGGAGTCGGTGCTGACGGCGGGGATGAGCGAGTGGGCGGAGTATCCGGAGCTGGGGCCGATTGGAGATGTTCTTGCGGCGCCGGATTTCTCAGTGACGGCATCTGTGCTCGTAATACAGCACTGTGATGTTGCCAGGAGATGTGATGTGATTGATTATGAGTTTCTTCCGGTTTAGGAGCGGTTGAGAGGGGCAAATTTGTAAATTTCGTTGTAAAACAATCAAAATATAACGAAATTGGAATGTAGGAGGTGAGGTTAAATATCTTCTTTTTATTTATTTATTTATTTTGTTTATGTTTGGTCATGTAATTATTTATTTTAGAATTTTAATCTTATTTATTGATCCCACCTTTTGCTTGTAACTCCTTTAAAAATGCTTGCTACTTTGCACAAAATGAAAATTACTTTTTTTTTTTTGCTAGGAATGAATTAATTTGGTTTTAAATATTTTTTATTATCTCATTTGATGGATTAGAAAAGTTTAACATAATGCATGATATAAATTTCTTTTTTTTTTTTTAGAATCTAAGAGTGTAGACTTTATGGATCGATTCATGTCTATTACTTTTGAATTTAGGGGGAACCTAATGATTAATGATTTTATTGCTTCCATTAAGATTTAAAATTATAGATTTAAATCATAAAAATAATATCTCTTTGGAGCAATATTAAGAGAGCATTTCATAAAATTTTAACGTATTTAACAACAATAAAAGGCTTATGCAATTCCTTAGAGTTTATATCTATCTATATCTAATATTCGATAAAGGATTAGTCAATGGAGCTTATGGTGTGTTAATAAAATATAAGGGGTATTTATATACATACCACACAATTCTTATGTATTAACATGTTAATACATAAGAATTGTATTTTCTCTCTTTGGATGCGTTGTATTTTCTCTCTTTACTCGCTTGATCAGGTGGTTATACTTTACTTTTTTTTGGAATTGTTGGGCTGAGTTTCTTTTTTGCTCTCTTGTTATTTAATTTTTTGTTTTGCATACGTGAGATTAATTGCTAAATATAGCGACGTTGATTTGATGTTATTTCTTTTGTGAATTGGCAGTTTTTATTGCCTGTTGCTCGACTTATGATGGGGTTTGCTGTGTAAGTTTGTGGTTCACTTTTGCTCAATTGGAGATCTTGATTTTCTGAACTGTTTTGTTATTCAGAGAGCTTTTGTTACTTTTATTTAGGTTTTGTTTGCTTTTAGATGATAACTTTTATTTATTTTAATTTCTTTATTTTATTTGGTGTTGTGTTTAAAACGTGGATGGACAGCATAGGTTTGATTTCTAGAAAAGCCTGCAGTCTTCCATGGACATGTGGTGGTGCCATATGGACGGCCAAGATGAACTGACGCAGTGTGAGATTCCTTCAAGTCATGTGCAAGTAGAACAAAAATCAAACTTTCACACCGCCAAGCTTGCCAATAAGAATCTCCCTGCTCCATTAGAATCTTGCATCATCCAATAAAAACACCCCATTTAAAATTCTTCGAACGCAGAAAAATAAATAAAAAATCATATTTTTAACGATTCCAAAAACTGGAGATTTCAACCTCAGAAATTTGTTTGGCTGCCATCGAAGGACGATAGCCACTACCTTCTATCTTTCCCCACTTCCCACTTTTCTTATTAGAATTCGAAGACGGTTGGCACGCCGAAGAAGCAAGCCAAAGGTCTGACCTTTCCCATCTTTTCTCCACACAAAACCCTAGATTTCCAATTGTTCCCACCTAAACTTCCTTCTCTCGATCCGATATCCTCGCCGATCGAAGAAAGATTCGATCTTGGTGAGGATGGCCGGAGCTCAGACGATGGTGATTGGGCATATTCCATCCGGCTTCAGCCCGCGGAGCAGCAGCGGAGATCTAGGGCTATGCAGCGCACCGACGTGCCGGCGGACTGCGGCGAGCCCGAGTTCGGTGGGGTTGTGCAGTTCCTTTATGGGAGGATGGGTAGACCGGTGGCGGCCAGCGGTGAGGTCGAAGAAGAAGAGGGGGAGGAGCAGAATTATAGTGGATGAGATTGCAGGACAGTATGAAGAGAGCTTTGAAGATATCCATGCGGTTAGTTGAATGCTTCAAATTATTTGATATTGCCTTCGTTCGTGCTAATCTTGTCCATAATCTAATCTATGATTCGTTAACTCGAGCTATGATTTATAATCCACAATATTAAATGATTTGTTTGAAAGTGGATTTTTGCAAGATTTATGTAGTATTTAACATAAATCCAATGGAACAAAAAAATCAGATTAATTAAATCCGTACTTTGCTAAATCTAATTTTTCTTCCCTTGGGTTATTTTTTGAAAGTGGATCCAGATTTATTAAATTCGATTATTATGTGAATTTTAACTGATTTAGCTAAGGAAGAAAGTCACAAGGGTGGATTTGTGCTAAACACCATAAACAAATTTAATGGATTTAACCTTAAATTGAACTGAATATTATTCTGAATTTGATAAATTCAGACCTACCAACAACAACAACTACAAGCTTTTATCCCACTAAGTGGTGTCGGCAACTTGGCGACATGAATCATTTTTCTCCATTGTGTCCTATTAAGTGTCATATTCTCATTTGATTATAATAGATTAAGATGATTTTTTATACAATATGCATAAGTCTTTTTAGACCTACCTCTATCTTTTTTAACATAAGTCGAATCTAAAATATCTATTCTCCTAACGAATCATCACATGATCGGCGTTTAATGTGGCCAATCCATCTAAGACGAATTCCCGTAGTTTTGTCCGCCAGTTGAGCTACGCCAACCCTATCACAGATATATTCATTTCACATTTTATCTCTAAGTGTCAAGCTTCTCATTCACCCAAGTATTCTAATCTCGACAACACTTAACTTAATTTCATGCTTCTCTTTTAAAGGCTAACATTCTGCATCATAGAGCATTGCAGGTCTCGCCACTATCTTATAAAATTTTCCTTTTAGTCTAAGCAGTACTTTTCTATAACACAATAGACCTGATGCATTCCCTTACTTCAACCAACTAACTTGGATTCTACTAATAACATCCCATATATATCACAATCACTTTGAATAATAGACCAAAGATATCGAAAACGTTCGCACCTTTTAATGATTTGATCGCCCATAGTTACAACTATGCCACTAAAGCTATTAAATCACATTCAATGTATTCAACATTAGTTCTACTCAAACGAAGGCCTTTAAACTCCAATGTAGACCTCTATAATTCAAGCTTTTTCCTGAACTCTTTCTCTAGTCTTATCCACAAGAGGATATCATCACCGAAAAGCATACACCAAGGTACATGCTTCTGTAAATGTCCAATAAGAGCATCCATGAATAAAGCAAAAAGATATGGACTTAAAGCTGATACTTGATGTAATCCAACTAAAATAGGAAAATACTTGATCAATCTATTTTCGATTTATCTGAATGTTCTCTTTGTTTTGGAAGAAATTCTTATTTTAATTATTTGGTTGAATATCTCAAAGATTAAGGTCTAAGATCTCATCCAGTTTCTTTTGTGAATCCAATAGATTAGTTATTATCATTGCTTTTTATTTTTCAAAGTTGAAAAAAAGTGCTAATCTATAATTAAATGTTTTTTTTTTCTAGTAACTGAACATCTATTTTGATAGGATATGATTAATTAGTTTTCGATTGTGATTGTCTTTGTTTTTCTACTTAAATCATAGATTATTGTTGCCAATACAAGTTTGGAAGCACTTGATACAATGATACCGTAGTTTTATGAAATTTTTGTATAGAGGAGTGCTGGAATTTACGTTAAGGGGGTGTTTGGCTGGAACTTGTATTTACTTTAAATAGGATTTAGTAAATCCAAAAAATCCAAATTTATATTGGTGGAGATGGCGATGGAGATGACGCTCGCAGCACAATGGAAGAAATTCTTAAACCTGCCTTGCAATCATATTTAATAAATCTGAAATTTACGTTGTAAAAGAGATGCAACGCAAGAAGGAAAAACAAAACGCGAAAAATTCAATATAACAATGTTGAATTCATTTTTCTTCTTCTTCTTTGATATTTGGCTGGATTTATGCTAAATTCATGACTAAATCCTATTAAAACTATGCTACTAAACCCTTAAGATTGATATAATGGGAGAAAAAATGAGATGAGCAGAAGTAGTGTAATAACAAAACATCAAGCTTGTGGTGTGGTTGATAATGCATTAACAGTAAAATTCATAAGGAATGATATATCTCATTGTCAAGATGAGACTTGTTAGAACCCATGGCCACGAGATTAGCAAAAATTGAAGGATGTGAAAAAGGAGATGTTAGAGAAGATGAAGTCACAAAATAAGATGTTGTCAGAAGAGTTGTGGAGACGAAAAGAGAAGGAGATGTAAGAGGATGAACTAGCATGTTGGAGTTCCTCTTGAGCATCTTGCTCCCTTATAGAGGCACTTGTTCTAGGAGTGCTAACAATACATTGCTTGAGATGCTAAAGAAGTGTATACCTCTTCACTTCTTGAATGTCGAAGAGACCACCTTACGGCCTATCGTCTCATCGTTTCATCGAATTACGGCCTATCGTCTCATCTTTTCATCGAATCAAACATTATGTTACAAAATTTGATTTGATTTTTTGACAAGGCATTGGACCGACAAATTTTAACTTAAGTTTTTTGTGCTGTTTTTATTTAGAAAAGTGAGAGCCACATCCATCTAATTCTTTGATGGAAAGAGGATTACTTTTTTATTTTTTATTTTCCCAAGCAAGTAAAAGGCATTAAAAGTTACAATTGAATTTTTTTTTAAAAAAAAGATCTATTAGATCTATTCACAAAAGGGAGAAAACAACATTAAATAGCTCCCAAATGCATGAGATCCTCGAAAAAATCAAGTTTAGAAAAATTCTTGCAGCATGTTGTTAATGAAAAAATATCCAAGGCTATCAAATCTTAAGTAACGAGTAATGTGAGGCAACAATACGGATAGTATCATGATCGACAAAATTTATCTTATAGAAACTGTTTCAAGAATGATGAAGGCAGACTGAAAATTCCAAAAAGAATAGAAAAAGTGGACAATAAAAAACAACTAAATTGAAAGACAACAAATAAAAGGCAGCACATCCAAATTTGAGATTATTAATGGCACATTTCATTGATAAAATTGAGTATGAATAGCTCAAGATGACAGAAGATAGCAAATAATTAAGGCAAATTGAAGTAGCCAACATAAACAACACTAAAATTGATCTCAGGACAACAGTCATAAGAAAGAGCCGGATAGCAACTCGAGTCTCCTTTAGAGAGCTTGATTTCATCATTACACACAAAGTACTAAAATGAGTATAGATCTTCCAAGGTAGAGAAAGGCTTTGTATATCCTAGAGCCACCATATAGTATAATGCCAAAAGAATCAGTGTAAATATTATTAGAAAGCAATTGTGACTAAGCAAATGAACTTATCTTCTGAAGTATAGGAAGCATATGTTAAGTCGTTATAATTAAATTGAAAAGAAATATACCTCCTTAACTAACATCTATTTACATTAAAGCATTCCGAAATGAGGAACGTTTACACTTCACTTTGAACCAAACTGAACCATAGGATTTAAGGCGCAATGAGGCAAGATATAAACTAAAATTATATTGCTTCCAAAAAATCTTAGATTTACACTTGAATTTGATGGTGTGAAGATTTGGAAGACTAATCCTCCACAATCTTTTAGTGTAGTGGTTATATTCAAAGTAATAGTTTGTTTCTTGTTTTTTTTAGTTTCATTGTAATGAAGAAAATTATTAAGAAATAATGAGAATTTTTCTTTCAAGCCTTTAGGAATGATAGATGAACTAAAACAATAGTGAAAATGACCCAAAATAATTGTCTTATCCGCTTCTCTTACATTCTTTTGTTTCCTGCACTTTTTATTAACAAAATTCTTCAGAACACGTTAATGCCTGCCTCTCCTAACACGGCAATCACTACTCCGCTTCTTGGCACTAAGTGCTTCTTTGTATATGATGTGTCCCAAAACGAGCATGTGAAACCCAGAGCCGGTCTCTTGTCTCTCACACATTTCTAAACCTCTGTCCATCCTGAGAGCACATCCGTCCAACCTACTTTCTATAAATACTCCCTCTTTTGAAAGCAAATATTGTGAGGGAAGCTTTGTGAATGGACTACTTGTAATCTAGCCTCATCGTTTTAGTAAAATTTTGCAACTTGAACCCAGAGGACCCAAATTCCTCACCCATTTCTGAACATTCTACATCATTTGGAACCAAAAGTGGCGTTCAAAGTACTTTTGCCATCATAACCTTACTTTATAACAAATTTTTATATCATAATACTTCTCGTTTAATCTTCGAACTAATCGAGTTATTTTGTTTCAAGAAATGAAGTGTTTAGACATCCAACCCATCCCTTTTCTGTTTTTTGCAGCATCTTATTAATTTCTTCACTTACAAAGCTGTAAGGACTGTTCTTCATCAGCTCTATGAAATGAATCCACCAAAGTATATCTGGTTCTACAAGTAAGCCTTCACATGTTTCTAATATTTTCAATTTCATAACATCATGTTAAGGTTTCTCTTAATACTTATTTTGTTTTCTTTTGGAAGTTTTGTCTCGAACAATCAAGTAAAAGATGGCGCACGGTTTCTCCGTTCCCTCGGGAAGGTAACCCTCAATTTTTCTTTAAAACACGAGTCGAAAAGCATGATTAAATTATGTTAACCATATTCGTCTTCATTATCAGGAGCATCAAGAATTAGCAGAAAGAGTGATGGTAACTCGTCTGCACCTGTATGGTAAATGGATCAAGGTACACTTAAAATTAGCTTATAATATTTGCATTATAGCCCCTTTTATTTGCCTTTTTTCAGTAATCTACTATAAAAAAACATGATTTTGTGCTAATATTTGAACAGAAATGTGATCATGCAATGATGTATCAGAGAATTTCTGATGAAAATCTCAAGTTGATGCGTGAGAGGCTAATGGAAACTGTAATATGGCCATCTGAGGACACCAATGCTGAGAATCTTGATTCATAAATAGCAGAAATGGGCTTAGTTCATCTGTATTATTTGCCTTGTTGGGAGCATTGTTTCTATAGTTAATGTTTAACTTCATGATTAAAAGTTTGTGGATAAATTTAGTTCAGAAGAGTGAAATATGTTTTTGTTGTATACCAATATATAGTTAAGAAAGTGATTATATAAAATTGATCATTACTACCAGATTTTGTTCTTGATTGATCCCTTTGGAGCCTGGAAGCTATCTGACAATCTTTTGTATTTACATATCTAATACCTAAAATTTGATATCTATAATTTATAACACCTTGGTGTCATAAACCTATGTATGAGAATATGTATTTCATTTTTAAAAAGACAGCGATGGTGGTATTTTTTATGTGATATTAAAGATTTGAGTTTAAATTTTCACTTTTTTAATGCTTCTCTTGTATTATTTTGTCCCTCTCTTCAACATGACCATGCTAACCATATTTGATTATCTTTTTTCATCTAATGTTCTCCGTCAACTTCGACATGCTCGAACGTTCTCTATAATTACATAAGGAAATTTATATCGTAGTTTAGGTCTTTTGTTCCATGTCAACTTCGACATGCTTAAACCCGCTCTATAATCACAAAAAGGAAATTTATATCATAGTTGAGGTCTTTTAAATTATATTTGCACATCTCTTTGCTATGAGAAAGGGTTCTCTTTGTATTCATGAATTGTAATCAACGAAATAATTTTAATTGGGTTATGCTACGTGATTTTTTTATTGAAAATCAATGGGATGGACAAGAGTGGGAGCGACATGAAATGTCAAACGCTTGGCTAAGCTTTGTTGGCATAATACAGCCACACTAATTAGGCCTTAACTGTTTACTTAAAAGTTGTTCTTTGCATACAAGGTATATAAAATCAAGTTAAACTCAAAGATTTGATAGCTATGCAGGTAAATATGCAAATGCCTTTAAAGTCATTATGTAAAATTTGAATTTTGTGTCTTTTTCTTGTTCGATATGAATCTACCCGATATATTCATCAAATGACTAAAATATACAATTCCACACGTAGAAAAAAAAAACTTTTTGGAATGCAATGCATAAAATTAAAAGAGGGATAATTACTTGGGGTTGTATTGTGATGATACTCTTCGTATTACTTCTCGAGAGGTCACTATTAAAAGCACTATTATGTAGTTTTAAGAAACTTTACATGCTTTGCAATATAACTAAAACTATCCATCAAATTTACAATTTTACAGGATTTAATTGAAGTTATCATGTGTTGTACCAAATAATTCTCAAGATTAAAACACATTATGATTTAGTAAATTTGAATTTATAAGATTTACTAAATGATATTTCTGAGTTCACATTGAAGAAAACTCATTAAACTCACTCTTAAGATCTTTGATGGTAGTTGAATCAACTAACAATTAGCTTTTCTAAATTCAAAACATAATTGCAAAACGAAACAAATTGTATAATCCTGATTTGATTCAACGACTAATAGACTCATAGGTCTGTGTGAATATTAAGCGCGGTATCCGCATGTGCAAATCAGTGGTATTGAGATTGTATTCACCAATCCGCGCCTAGCACATCTACACATAATATTTTTACCATGGATAAAGCCACATTCATATGTATTCTTCTTTTTCTCCTTATTTCTTATGTCTTCTCCCACTTTTCAAGCTTCAGTTAATTAATCTTTTCTTCTCAAATTGATATCGATTCCATAGCCAGCAATAAGGTTTTGATCAACGGAAGAAAGGAGGAGAATAAGGAAATAATGACTGCTTCAAAGTTTCTATAAATAATGGCATTTTAGAATCTATGAGAGCAGTGAGTTATGTTTGTGGTGAAGAGGTACTCTCAAGCTGCTGTAATGGCTTCTCCACACCGAGAGCTCGAAAGTTTTGCATACCAGAGAAGTTGTAGTGCCCGCCGGCATTGAAGAAAAAGAAGAATTTGAAGGACTCTGGTCATTGTTCATCTCAGTGAGTTGAGCCTATCAGGGGCCAAACTGTTCCCCTGGCCCAAACATGGGAGTTGCCCTATCAACGAAGGATAAATTGATATTTTAGGAGGGATAAAACTGATATTTCATGAGGGGCAAAAGACAAAATTGACCTTCCATATAAATAAAATATAAATCTGTGGACCCTGTGTGGGTCCGCCCCCTAAGTCTAATTCCTTCTTTACTCCTGATTTGGTGCTCCATTTCTTACTGGCTGTCAATGGTGTTATGGACAAATTGTAGATTAAGCTAAGCATTAATGTGTTAATTTTGTAGTTCTCCATCTCTCTCTCTCTCTCTCTCTCTCTCTCTATATATATATATATATATATACACGGTGACACTGCATTAGAATTGTGCTTCTTTTTTTTCCAGTACCAGGAGGGTCTATGAGGAGGAATATATGTGCGGATTAAAATAATTAAAAAAAAAAAAGTTTGTTCCAGCATGTATTTTTTATGGTCTTTAATGTTGTTGATGAAAAATAGTTTTTAATATTTGATAAATTAAAAAAAAAACATACATATATAGCACATAAATCTTTTATATTTAAATTTTATATTTATGTTTATAATATTTCTTTGTCATAAATTTATGCATAAATATATGTATTTTACTTTTAAAAAATTAATAATATTATTATTTTTATGTGATAGCAAACAATAAAAGATTATGTCTATAAATATGAAAATTTCGGTGCTAGATAGATAAATGCATAAGAATTGTGAGGTTGAAATGTAAAAAGTAGGGGTTTATGTGTTAAATATTTAAATACATAGGAATTAGGCCGTATGTATGTAGATGCCCCGATAAACAATATTATACAAGGAATATTTAAAATTTTTATTAAAGTATGTACAGCACAATTATAAAGAAATGATTTAAGCTATCATACACAGCAATTTCTTCCAACTAACTCAATCCACTTGCATCAACTTAGCCAAACAAACAATTAATGACAGCACTTCATAGATACAAGCAGAGGCACGACCAAACATTATGAAAGCAAAAGAAACAACATTTGCATTATTTCTCAAACAAATGCAATATTCCTATTCAACACAGAATGTATAGGCATACTAAGCCTCTGATTCTAGAGCTATACATCTGACAAAAGAAAACAAAGAAAAATGAACTCTCCCCCTACAACAATAAGCTGCAAAACAACTCTAAACCAAACAGAATTACAGTCTGATTCTTTGTCTGGTATGATGCCTTGAATCCCAACTGTATCGCCTTTTGATGAACGACTCCTCATCTATATCTGGCTTGCATGCCTCGTGCGTCGACCGCATCGAAAGTCTCCTTACACTGTATGCCTTGCCACCGCTAGAGTTCGAGCCATAATCATTCATCGAACCATGTCGTGACGGCCTCTCCATAGGCTCTTCAGAATCAGTCCTGTGAATTTCACTTCTCAGCTTCCTCCCTATTGATCTAATAATCTCTGTAATCTCTGCAGGAGTCTCCTCTTTGTTCTCTTCCCAGGATTCAATTTCAGCATTCGCATCATATGGTTTGATATTTTGCAAATCTGGCTCAAGCCAGAACCCATGCGGCCGCTTAGACTTATGCATTTTCCTAAAAGTGATGGAAATCCTGTAGAATTTAAGAATAATAAGGTGAATATAAAAGGATTTGAGGATTGAAGTGCATGCAAATTGATGTTGGATGATGAGACCTTTTGAAAGGGACAGAAGGAACACAATGCTTTGCAATATCAGCTCCATTGCCATTTAAGACCAGCACAGACCTGAACAAGGTAATATTAAGGGTAGGGTAATAAAATGGCTAACAAGAAATTTAATGCAAAGAGGACCATAAATAAAAAAAATTTACAGAGTTTAAATTCTTATTGTACTTAACAACTTAAAATGACAGTTCAACAGGGGAAAACAAGCATTGAGACTTACTAAATGAATGTTAAAAGAAGATGCTTACCCAACTGGAAGGGGAACTGACATTGATCCAATAAATTCTCCTGGTCCAACTGCTTTTAGATTGGATCCGAACAAGATGTTGCACTCGCTTAAAAATGAAACGGTAGAAAACGGCCGCACAAAGTCATGGCTGTCAATATGAGGTGGTATGCAATCACCAGGTTCGTAAATATTAACGATGCAACTATCTGGCACACAGTCAGGAGATAACACATGCCAGTGAACCAACCGCTTTATCATAGTTTTGAATAGATTTGGAATAGGATCAGCAATTGCCCTGCGAATGATGCCAGGAGGGATTCCATTCTTTTCCTGTTATTAGCAGATTAGTTAAGATTCATTCTATTCTTTAATGAATTGAGGAAAGCTAAAAAAGAAAAAGGGTATAACCGCATAATTGTAACAGCATCCGAATTGAATTGTCACTCTTCCTTTCCCACGCATCCACTTTCTTGGTTCAGAATATGTGTGTTCTACATAAAAGTAAAAAAGTAAAAAAAAAAAGTTGAATTTTCTCAATCAAAAAGGAATGTATGTTAAAAAAAATAAATTTTTTAAGGAAATTGTTAAGAAAAATCTTTACAATCATATATATAATTACATAAATATTTGGGATAGAAAAAAAAAAGGTTAATTTTGAGCTTACCTTCAAATTCATTATTCCTCCCTTTCTCTTGCAGGTTATAGACAGCATCCACAATCCTTCTCTGCTCCGCAGCACTAAAAACCCCAGTGTGCAGTTCCAGACCCTCCAAAATATTCACCTTCCTTCCATCTATCCTCTCAAGACAAACAAAATCCTTCTTCCTTCCCACATTTGTGAATCTTATCCGCTCTCTCAGCTCTCTGGACGGCTTGATTTTCTTCAGATTCACGTCCTCCTTCTCCTCCGCCACAACATCATTTAAATTCTCGCTCCTCTTCTCTTCAACTTCGTCTCGTTGATGCATATCAACCCAAGACATGGACGCCTCACACGATTCCCGCTTTCGATCTGAATCCCAATCCATAGTCTCCATGTGATTGCAGCTTTTTTGCGAGGCTACGAGCTTAGGATCGTCGGCTAGGGTTTTCAAGAAAACGAAAGAGACCAACGGGATTCAGCTGCCGCCGGTTCGAAGGAGAAAGAGGGGAAAAAAAAAAAGGGAAGATAGCCAGGAGGGTACGCAGAAACTTTCGATTACCTCTTATACGAGCGAGGGTTGCGCGAATGCGGGCGTTCAATGGGGATTCAGGCGGTTGGGAAGATGGATGTCTGAACGTGTCTCGGTGTTTTCGGGAGAATTGGTCGAAACCCTAAACGGTCAAAAACGGTAAGAATCTTTTTTAATATTTTCTGATGGATTGAATCTTTTTTAAATTTATTTATTAAAATTGAATCTTTTTTAATTTTTTTTTTATATTTTGAATATCTTGTTTCCTTTTTTACGGCATATGTAAAATATATTTTTTTTCGAAATGTTTAATCTTGACTTATTGTTCATATTGTTTCACGGATTATTATTATTATTATTATTTTGCTATCAATTCATTTTTCTTGGCCTTTTAAATTAAGAGGCTGCGACGAAGCTCTTTTAAATGTCACGTCTGTGGGATCTAAAACGATAAAAAATTATCAGCAACAACTTTGGGAGATGTCTTATGAAAGGAAAGAAAATACTTGCACCGATGATGAGTACAATGGAACGGATCTTCGTTGTCTTCTAAAATGAGGCATAAGTAACATCAAATATATTGATTAATTGAAATTATGCATTTATTATTTTTTGTTTTGAGTTCTATTTTTTTGTGTTGTGAGTTATAATCTTTTAATCACTTTGGAAGAAATTTTAATTATCGATGATATGCCATCAACAAATTTTTTGAATCCAACACGAATCCAAACGCATCGCACGGATCTCGAGATAATCTTTTGAGCAATAGATGTTCGAACTTCGATTAAGAATCATCCAGAGTTCTGATTTCAGCAAACGTATTATCAAACTGATCGGGTTGACAAGACAAACCCAACAATACCAAAATTTGTCTAATCCGAGTCAAATCATGGTCAGATCAAGCCATTAAGCCACTTTTGAAAAAATTTTATGTATATTTGGAATGTCAAACTGATATCAAATGTGATGAGCTTAAGTTCAAATCAAGAGTCTCAATAAGACAAATCCAACAAGCTCAAAATTACTCAATTTTGACATTTTTAAGAAACTCAGATATTCTCCAAATGTAGTCTCATCGAGGAATCTCTTCGAGTCGTCACATCAGAGTGGTTCATATCCCTTCATTAATTGTAATAGATACCACAAATGAGGCTCAACCACCCTCACGAGGAGGGGTGAGAGAGCTTAAAGTTTGAAGAAGACTGAAGTTTTGAAATGAGTTGAAGTTGTTTCATTTTGCAGCTGTTAGCCACTGTCATCCAACACTCGTCGCTGTTCACTGATTACCATTGGCCGTAGTCCACTCCTTGCGACTAAGCATCATGTGAAGCAACAACTGACATTGTGGAGTCAAAAAGCAACCTATGAAGCGTAGGGTTGTAAAAGAGGCGAATTAAGCGAGCTCGAGCTGGGCTCGTATTCTGCTCGTTAAAAATTGCTCGTTTTTTAAATCGGCTCATTAAATTAATTGGAAAAATAAATGTAGAGTGTTGAATTCGAACCTGCACAAACTCTATGCAAAAGAAGACGCAAAAACACATAAATAAACAAACTTTTATGATTTAAACTTATATATAAATATATAAGATATTATTATATAAATAATATATATAATTTCTTTATTTTGAGCTAAAATGAGTCGAACACAGGTTAGCAAAGGTTTCTTCATGTTTGATTTGTTTACTTAACGAATGAGCAGAACATGAGCTATTCCTGAAAAAACCAGTTGTTTTGACAACCCTAGCGAAGCAGTGCATCGTCCTAAAGACAGTGCGACAATGTGCATCGAAGTTGATATAACATCGCACCCTATCTCTTCTCTCATTTTCACCCGAAACCATCAACTGGGAGACCGAACCCACCCTCACGATACAACTCTACTACTCTGTTTTCTTCCCCACTTTGCCTGATGTCCAAGCCATCCACATTTACTACTCTGCACTCCATAAGCATCAAGCCTCACCTTCTCCAGATGTACATAAATGAGGATTTGAATGCACTTAAGCATTTTTTATGAGAGATTCTCTTGAAGAAAATAATATAAGCAAATATATAGGAAAATTCAGTTTAAATTGTGATTTCTTTTGCAATTCTACTATAAAATGATGCACTACTTGTTCTGATAGAGTTGCTTTCCAAGGTTTAAACTTATGAAATTATTTTTCAAGCACCTTTTCTTAGTGCAGTTTAAAGTAGATGAAAATTATTTTTTTTTCAAATAAAATTATAAATTTAATTTTCATTTTTTTACTTGAAATTAAATTTATTGTATTTAAAAATGCTACGGATAGTTGGAATTTTATTTTGATTTCCAATAACAAAGCTAACAGTTAGTCGGAATTCTAAGAAAAAAAGTACATAAAAAATTAATTTATGCTTCTCCCCCACTAATTGTTAATAATATATCATATAAATTTATAATTATTAATATAACACAGAGCTATTGTTTTAGACCAAAAGCTATCCAACCATTTGATTCTGCTTCAGAAGTATTAAAAATATCAGTCATGATTCATTCTTAAACAGTTTTACCAAACAAGGATAGTTTGGTCATTCTTACGGTAACAGTTGACTAATAGTTGTTTTCACACAGTTGCACCAAACAGACAGTCAGATTATCCGCAACAACTTTTTGGCCTGAGACAGTACAACTACAGCTGAAAATCTTAGAAACTGAAGCTGCGCCAAACATAGCCTTAGTTTCAAATTCCACCAACACTTCACCAATATTGTTAAAAAAAGTCCCAACTTGGCCGAGGGTATAGAGTTTTTTTAATAAATATTTCCTCACAGCATATTTATCTAAAGAGCTCTGTATGATCGTAGCTTCTTCTTCCTTTCGTTCCAATGGTTGCCAAAAGGTCAACCATAGCTTCCACCGGAGAAGAAGTCAACGAAGTGGACGGTGGATCGCCGAGCTGCCGCCGGCGAGGGGAGGCTGAAGAGGTGGCCAGAATAACGAGCAGGTCGATGGGAGAGGGAGCGGGTGGAGAAAGCTAGCGCTGGCTTGAAGAAAATTAAGGAAATTATTTGGAGACGATTTTTTTAAAAAACTATTATGTCATGATGATTTTTTATTCACTAACCAATCAATAATACATTAGATTTATTTCATATTGAATTTAATATAAAAAATATTAGTAAATTTTAATTAAAAGATATTCGCTTGAATTTCTATGGTTTTGCAGCATTATTATTATTTTTTTTTTCAAGTGGAATTGTATGATAAAAATATGGTAGGAATTGAGTTGGTTGTAAGAAACTCGTAATTTGTTAATAAATTCTTTCTCTTATGTAAGGATCCGCTTGATTATAAATAGAGTCTTGCCCCTTTCATGAAAGAGAAATAAGATCGGAACTTCAAGAATTATTGAGAGTAGAAGGAGTTGAAGTCTAGTTTTCCCGCTCCTGTAGCCACCGAAAAATCCAGCTAATTTTTCCCGCTTCTGCAACCATCGACCACTGTAGACCTCAACTCGCTGGCTATTGTTAACCATAGTCGGTCAACGAAGCACCTTGTTGAATAATAACCAATGTTGCAGAGTAACAAAACACCTTGCTAAACAACAACTGATGTTGCAAAGTAATGAAACACTGCACCGAATAGTGACCACTGCTGCAGAGTAATGAGACAATGTGCAGAGTAAAGGCTAATATTGCATACCATTCTACGGAGCAACGTGCCATCCTGAACATTTGGCAACATCACATGCACTTTGAAGGTTGTGCTGAAATTATGACAACTGTAGTTGTTCTCGACTTTTGTGCAACGAGTCTTCTTGCATACGAACATTGCTTCTACGCGACCTTTTCCCGCCTGTAGAAAAAATATATGTACCCGTGTGCACACCATTAGTTAATAGATTATTTAAATTGGACTAAACCTCGTGGTTTTTTCCCATTTCTAGAATTTTCCACATGAAAATCGAAGTGTCTCCTCCCACTTCTCTTTTACCCGAGCATGTGCGTGATTTTTGTGCAACGCCAAAATGCTAAATAATCACTCTACCGCCACAAACCTTCCGTCACACATCAACTATAACATCTTATTCATTTCTAAATTTTCTGTTAATTTAGATTATTTAATGCTGTACAAATCCTATGGAACAGAGGAAACTGGAAGAGAAGAGGGCAAGTGCAGCAGAGAAAATGGACAATGAGGTGGCTGTTGCGAAGCAGAAGGCAGATGAGAGGAGAGCAGAAGCAGAAGGCAGTAGAAAGGAGAAGGTTGGGAAGGTGATGAAGGTTGCAAACATAATGAAAGTTTTTGGCAGGCTTCCTTCCAAGCAATCTTTCTTCAAGATGTAAATTAGAACATATTTCTGGCCATCTCTGTTGTCATATTGTGTATTATAAGTGCTTATCAATGTTACTTATGTGATAATGTGAATATGTATTTAACTTTTTTTGAAGTGAAGATAATGGTATTTTATGTGATATGAAAGATTTTGTTGGTTTATATGAAAAAATAAATAAATTTTAGGTCATAGATATGTAAATGCATAGGATTTGGGTGGAATATATGTAAATATCCCTTAATTTTAAATTAAACTTTGGTTGAATTTAGGATATGCTAGACTTTGTCATTTTATTTAACATAGGACACAACTGTATAACTTGCACTTGTATACGTAGATGATATATTAATTACTGGTAACTCCCACAACTATCACTTCTCACATCACCAAGTTAAGCGCCCAATTCAATCTCAAACAACTTGGCCCAATACCTCACTTTCTCATCCACAATACTTCTCAAGGCTACTTTTTTAAATCAAACTAACAATCTTATTGAAATTTTAAATAAAACGGGTTTGTCTCAAACTAAAGAAGTTCTCTTGCCTCTCCCCACTAATCACCACAAACAAATCACACCTTCCACGCTTATGTCAAACCCAAAATAGTATAGGCACACAATTAGATCTCTCCAATACCTCACTGTTACTCGCCTAGACATATCGTTTGTTGTTAATTATTTAAGCCAGCATATGCGTCAACCAACTCTTTTATACTTTCAAAGATTAAAACGACTTCTACGTTATCTTAAAGGAACTTCAGAGTATAGGCATCCACTTATTCATGGGTGGATGGCTTTAAAAACTTATGCACATGTTGATTGAGCTAGCGATACTATAG